TGTGACTGGCTTCAATTAGCAGAAGTGTCCAAAACTATCTTGTACTTCTGTGCAGGTTTTTTCAGCTATAAGACATCTAGGTTTTTTGTTTTATTTTGCTTTTCTTTTTGGAGAGTAGCACAACTGACCTTCTTGGAGGAAAAGAGAAGGCCCAGAGAAAGAAGGTGGGAGGGAGATCCAAAACGCAAGGTCACCATTTTGTTATTTTTCAATAAGTGTCATTATTACTCTTGTGAGATAACAATCGTGAGACTGTTGGATCTATTTGTATCCCAATCCAAAATAGAAATAACCACAGATAACTCTGCTGATTTTTTTTGCTCCATTTTAGAGAAACTCGTGCTTAGGCAGATTATATCATGTGGGTTAACTTTATTCCTCACAGCTTTATGACCTCAGTCCCATGTTCTCAGGTCATTCAGAGAACAGCTCTCAAAGCCAACACCATCATATTGGCAAAGATCTCACAAAGATCATGAGCTTCTCATTGTGCGGGACTTGGTTCCAAATGATGTTTTTTTCTGAGGACAATAAATTGGACAGTGGGCAGAATGTAAAGGAAAAATATTAAGGAATTAACAGTTGCTTATTGTTCCCTCCATCTCTTTTAATGGGGGAAATGCAAGGCTTTAGCTCCCAGTTCCTGTATTTCCCTTAAAAGCAGAGTTAACAAGACAGTATGAACCTGTCTCTCGTAACTGATTCGACAGCTGTCACAAGATCCATACTTAAGGTTAATGAAAACCAAGTGCTCTCAAAAGACTTGAGAGGCAAATCACTTAAGATCTATCTCCCCAAAAAGAGTTACAGAATAATTGTTAAACTCCAGCAGAGAAATGTTTTGACAGTAGAAGAAAGAAACCTTGACAGAGATTACATTTTTACTACTGTTTAGAAAAAAAGTTTGGAATTTTATTTTTGATCAAGATGATTCCTGGGCTCCCGGTAATTGCTTGACAACAGCAAAGTACATTAAAGGCCGCTGTGATCCTCCTCTACGCAAACACTCAACGCTCAACACACTTCCCTTTTGAAAAGGCAGCCTCTCAAGATGTTGGCTCAACTCCGTCAAGGGAGCAGCCAAGGAAAAAGAGAGCTTGGAGGTTTTGTGAAGGGAAAAGGGAAAAATTGTTTCCAACAGGAGAGAGATTGCATACAGACATAGTTCTTCCTTGTGTAAAAACTTCTGAATTACTTTTTAAGGTTGGGTGCTGCATGGAAAAGGCTTCTCCGTATCCCAAAGGAAGCAGTTCAAGATACCCAACTCCTGTCCTAAAAGCAAACTGTGCTCCGGTAGGACCTGCGCTTGCAGGATAAATGTTTTGACAGGGGCTCTTTTGCTTTACAGCCTGGGAAGTGGGGGCGATTGCACTCCAGTCCTGTGTGTGCTTGTGAGCGCATAGATGCTATTCCCTAATAAGCTGGAGCTAACAATTGGTTGTTAAAAGAAAATGCACTGAGCAACTGAAACCTAATTTGAAAAGGAAATAAAATATTCCCGTAAATATATGCATGAATGCCAAGAAGCTGCATAATAGGCATAGAAAACACAAAAATATGCAATTTACATATATTACACACTAATAATCTCTGTTCTGACATTATGTTTAAAGAGCTCCGGCTGAGACGGAGTGCTTGCAGTTTGGTTGCTTTTCCATAAAATACAAACAAGGACCCTCCTGGCTATCAGTTCCCCAAGACATTAATCACTGTCTCATTCCTGCAAAAGTCAAGCCTTTGTAGGTCTGGGAGAGAGGTTCTCTCACCACAACCTGCCAATAACGACTAAACCAGATGAACACAGAGCATCATCAGTCATCTTGGGAGCTGCAGATCTCGCCTTGATGTTGGGAGGCGCTGAATGTTAACAAGGTGGCACTTCAGTCAGAGCAACTTCCAATCCATTCCCAACAAACCACCAGTCCCGCAGGACAGGTTCGTTGAGGAGCACTCACCTTCCCCAAACTGACCAAGACCTGCAGTCCTCTCGTTTCTAACTACATGGCCAACATGATAAAATAAAGTTACAGCACTCCTGCTATTTCCGCTCGTCCTTGCCCTTTTACACCGGGCTTGCCTTAAATAAGGGTTTTGTCCGTTGTATCCAAGAACAAAGTGTGAAAGAAAACATCCACAGTGGAAAATAGGGCAACCCCAGGAGTCTTTGTGGCAGACCCTCCTCAGGAAAAACTGAACTCAAATGGGAAACAGATTTAATAGGAGTATGATCTGGTGAATCGTCATAGATTTCTTCATAGATCCCGTGAATCTCTTTAGATTTGGGTTGTATATTCAGGGGGGTTCTTTTATCAGAGAGATCATTCTGGTGTCAGACTTTCCTCCCGGGCTCCCCAATAATTCACCACAAATTCAGCTTTACAAACAATATCCCCAGAGCGCTTGCCTGTGAGAGGGACACTGATGGGTGGAAACATTATGCTAATTGCTCACACACCCAGATTTATTGTGGCCAAAAACCCACCAGCGAGTAAAACACCCTCTTTCCGCCTCATCTAAATTCTACGCACACTCCCAGCATCTCAACATGCCCACTCAGCAGGAAAATTCCCATTTCTCTTTCTTCACGAAAACCCTCCACACAGAACTGGCTCAGACTCCAAAGGGGAGCAAAGAGCCCTAGAGAAGCCTGACAAGAAGATCCTCTGGAACATACCCCCAAATTAGCTTAGATTTTGCACACAAGAATGTAACATACACAGCACCAACATCTTTGGCTCTTGTTTGGGGTGTAAAGCACAACTCTTATTTCACTCATGTCCCACAAATTGTTTCACAAAATTTATTTACCTGAGGTTACATCACTCAAGAAGGATGGAAATGATTAGATATACACAAAGTCTAGGGATGTTGGTTTATACCAAGGTCTCTAAATCAGCGTTTAGGCCCCAGAATTATTTTGGAGCAGCCACTGCTAATTCTGACGAACCTTTGGTGCTGGGTTTTTGTTTTGTTGAGCAGCAGAAAGATCTTTATTAGCCTATCAAGTCACTGATGCCAAGAAGCTGCTCCACGTCTAATCACTGACTGTAGGGACGCTGCCCCACGTACATTCACTGATAGTTGCCTGAGCAGCCCCCTCCTAGCCCTGTTGGTGAAGGGGCAGGAGCTCCAAACATGGGGGTGGGAAAGGTTACCGAATTCTAAGGAAAAGAGAAGTTTCCAAACATAAGGACAGAGGCGGTGCAAAGAAGCACAGTAACTGATTAGTCTAATCTCTTCTGCGATCTCCTTTTGATTATATCAAATCTCCAATCAGCAAGACTTTGGGGGAAAACCTGGCCTCTTTTTTTTGTCCCCCTTTTGCCCAGACATCACAAGATTTCTTTACTGTTGCGCTCAATTTCTGTGTCACAGACAATAAAAGCTTTGTGAAAGAGGGGGGGGGAAAAAAAAAAGAAAAAAGATCCCATTTTCCATAACCAGAACCAATATGTATTTAAACTGACACTAACTACTTTTAACAGATTAACTCTGACCCCCCAAAAGATATTTATGTCAAAATTGTGGAAGTCTTGCACACTGCGAATCTGGTCATCAAGAAAAAAAGGCAACTAATTTAATGTTATGGCTCTCGTTGGCGTTTGCATTTAGAGATCTTCAGAACAAAATCCATTCATGTCTTGTTGGAAGTATAACCATTTGTTTTTCTGTTGGTATTTTTTTTTCCTGAGGTTTCGAACCATAAAGTTTTGTACCCCACTCTATGCTATAGGAATCTGTGAAACTTAATTACATTTACTGTTACAAAAAAGGGTTTATGAACTTTTGCCTTTGGGCAAAAATGTTTATTTCATTGCCTTTGTTATTCATTCTTTTCAACTCCAGTGCCTTTGAACTTTTCAGCTGCACAGAGTTATCACTGTTGCACAGGAACCAGGAACTGTACTCGCGAGATGCAAACCACAAGTTGAAGAAAACGAAGGAGGCAAAGATATACGAGTCGTTATTTTGGCCACCCTTTGTGCCATTAAAATCTCATTTTCTGCCTATTAGAATGCCCTCTCCCTGCTTAGGCAGTGGTGATAGTCCGTGATTAGTGTGTAATTGAGTATAATTGTCTTTTCACTTTTCATTTGTGTCATTCTGAGCTTCTCTCTGTTTTTCTAACCACCGAGAGGAAAAAAGGGTAGAAAGAAGATAAAGCTGTTAAAACTCTCACTCTCAGCCCTGAAGAGATTCCCGATTGTAATTATAGATTGCATCCTCTTTGTGACTTACCAGAATTTAGTGGACATCTCTCCCAGCACCTGGGCAAAGCTCACACTAATAAACTAAACTCTCATCTACTTAAGCTTTGATTAATAACGTCAACTTCTGACAGATGCCACATGTAGGAAAATTTAACCAACCTTTTGACACGCAATTACTGAGGCAATTTATTAACACGATCTCCTAAAAAGAGCTCATGCAAGTTAGCAAAACAATTATGGCATGCATACATTTACATATTGCCCAACAACAGGAATACTCCAGGTTTATGTATTTCTAACTCGATTAGAGCTCCTCTCAGTGTGCACAGTCCAGCCCCTGGAACTCGCCTGTTAGAGCTCGCCTGCAGTTTTCCTAGATGAGCTGGAAAACCTCCGTGAGGTTATCTTCAAGAGATGTTTTATTTACAAAAAAGCTACAAGATCAGAGCTTCCAAACTTTCCATACCCAGGCACGGAGCTTCAGGAAAATACAAGCACATTACCAATGCCTGACAACTGAATGTAAACATGAAGTCTGCATGATTACATTATAAACCACTCAAAATTAAATATAAGCTATGAGCCTCGATTCAGCCAGTACAAGGAAAAAAAAATATATATATATTTATTAAAAAAAAAAAGAAGGAAACCAGCAAACTGAAATCATGTGGCTTGTATAAAGAATACATTATGGTTTAAATTTGGCAATTCATTATACCGTGGCCTGAGGGAATAGACTCTTTGGTTCGAGTATACAGCAAATCCTCTGTCTGAAAACACAGGACTGACCTGAGGTGAAAGGCCATTGCCAATGGCAGGGTTCATGGGATTCGCGGGCCCGGACGGAGGCACAAAGCTGTCTGTATAGCTGGAAAAGCCGTGCCGGCTGCTGGGCAGGCAGTAGGCAGAGCCGCTGTCCGGGTTCGAGGGGAGGCTGCTTTGGTGCACGCTGCTCGGAGGAAGCGGCTGAGGTCTGTGGACGGTACCGCTCGGGTCAGACACGGCTAGGAGCAACAGAAACACGTCAGTATGGGTTTTTTTCTTCTGTTTTGCTGGCATAATGAATTGATTACGCGAGGCTTAACCCGCTGTAATTCCATCAGGACCTGCATCTTGGTTATACGGAAGGGTATGTTGTTAATATTACCGAGTATCTAACCGGGCCAGCTAAGCCATGCAAGAGTTCTACCAAATCACCGTTACAACATACACTGTGAAAATCGGAACAGACCCATGCATTTCTCAAGCAATTTTCAGTTGGGCCCATACCATTTAGAATCAGGTATTACCATTTAGAATCAATAAAGCAAAATAAAATTAAAAATAGAAAGAGGAGGTAGGGAGAGCTTTATATCCTTAGCAGAAAGGTAGTCCTCTTCCTCCTGCAGGTCACAGCACAGTTCTTCCACGGTTCATAGCAAAAGCAGTAGTGATAGAGAAAGTTTGGGGCTTTGCAAAATTCCCTTGAGAAGAGTGTGGCCTTGTAAAAGCACCCACCAAACAGCAGTGGTCCAAATCTCAGGGAGGCAGCAGGGAGAACACCCGGTTTATATAAAATCTCACCTGTAAGAGTTTTTGTTTTGTTTTTCCTTGAACAGAAACATCTAACGCAGCTAAGATTTAAAGCTCCTTTGTGCCTCCAAGCCAAAGCCAACATGTCTTTGGTGCTACATTTGAACACGAAACGCTCCTAACACGGGTGAGCCCCAGGCAGCGCCGGTCACAGCTCTGCCCGAGCACCTCTTTGCTGCCCTACCTTGTGGTATGGAGGTGGGCTGGTAGGACGGCTCCGAGAGCGGGTAGGTGGGCAGCGTCGGCATGGCGCTGGGTGGAAACCCTCCCGGGATGAGGTGGTTGAAGGCCATCAGTTGGTTGGCTCCCGCCTGCTTCCTCCATCGAGCTCGACGGTTACTAAACCAGACCTACAAATGTTTTAATTAGGCACATTTGATTTTCATACACTTCATATAGGTGTGTTAGCAATAAGAGCATCATATATCAAAAGCATTTAGTGTCCAAGAAATATAAGTAATCCATACTGAGCACATCTGCCATCAGTCTAAGTCCTAGGAGTCCTTGGCAGCCTCTTCCATGGTTTAACAGCAGCTCCCGAACTCTACTTCTCCTTTCAAATACAGCCTCTCCAGGGAAACAAGATAATTAGTACTGTTAATAGCTATCCATCATAATCTCGTTGTGCAAAAATTAAAGGAAAGCAGCTCTCCATGTGATCCAAGTGCTGGCCGGAGCTCTCTAGTCCACATTCCTCCCAGCAAGTTTTTGGTATTCATGTATGTGCAAAGCATCTCAAATTTATGAGTAGATCAGAATTTCATCGCAGAACTATTTTGAAATCTAGTCTCAGGACAGCGAGAGAGAGTGGGAGAGTTTAAATTTTCCATCAAGCAATCAAGGCACCCCAGCCTTGCCACCTCCTTTCCATCCCTGCAGGGGCCTGATGCATATATCTCGTGTTTTTCCTGAAGTTTGGATCTGCCTTGACAAAAACATTAAATGGATTTATCAAAAACATGACCATAGCAATGGCCCCAACTCTCACCATCACCTTTTTATAAATAAACCCACTGAGGTTCTGATCCCCAGTTACTCTAACAACACAATTTTTGTTATCTGCCATGGCCTTGTCCTTCTCACATACTGTGACCTGTGCTTAAAACAAGCAAGATCCAATCTAGAGCCATAAGGGCTGGGGATTTGGGTTGAATTTCTTGTGGAAACAAAAGCAATGAATAAATCAGCTACTGCACTTTACAGCCCTGAAATACAACATTCTTATACAAACAGGGTTGTCTTGGAAGAAGCACAATCTGCTTGTATCAGTGTAACATGTATAAACTAAATCATTGTGCCAGGCGTTGGGCAAATGTCTACATGGACAGATTAAATGGAGCTGGTTTAAGTGGCCCAAGTGTTTGAAAGTGATGCTCACTTTCAAGGCACGTTTATTTTGGCTCCCTGGTTTCTACGTTCACTTTCAAAGAAGGAATGCAAATCACATAACCAATTTTTGGGGAAAAAAACACACTACTGTGTCCAGCCAAAATTTACATCTCTGAAGCACTCAAAAACAGATGAATTAAGAGCAGACAGTAACAAGACTTTTAAGGGAAGTATTGGAGAATGCAGTTTTCCAAGCACCTAGATTTGGGCTGACCAGAAATCACTCAGCAATATAATATAAAATGTTATCTTGCATTGGTAGAGAATGGATTAGGTGACTTCACAGATTTCTTCTATCTCTGTTTTCTCATATTTAGATATTTCTTTTTATTATCATTTTTAATTAGTTTGCAACTGATCATGCCAACATCTTATTTTGCTGATCTCAATAGGATATTCTTTAAGAGACATATTTATTCACTTGGGAAACACAGTGGTCTAATTAGCGTTGACATTTCCATAGCTCAACCAGAGACACAGTGCATTCTATGTGCTTTTAAGGAAAAAAAGATCTCTGAACCAACAGCATGAAACATATGAGATGTGAATTTTGCAGGAAACCAGAGGATATTTTGTGTTAAATACAGTCCTGACCATTGCAAGCACGAGTGCCAAAAACATACAAAGTCCAAGGGCTGATGTATTGTTGATGACACTTCACATTCTAGCCAAAGATTTTATTTTTTGCCTGTTGCCTTGTGGTATTTTCCCCAGTAACCATCCCCTAGCACTTTCAACTCCCCATGTACCCCGCAATCTGCAAACCAGTGTGTCCAGAATTACACCTGGAAGTGGCTCCTCTTTCCATGGAAAGAATGTTCTTTCTTAGCCTAATGTTTAGAACATCTCCTTGTTTGCAGTTGGCCAGTTTATCCATATGAATTCCTCCTTCATCTTAAAAAAAAAACACCAAAAAACTGCAATTATAGAGTCATCTACCAGAAAAAAGAAAATGCTGTGTGCATTCTTAATCCTATGTATAATGTAAGAGGAATAGCCCCAAAAAGAGGCACTATAATTTTTCCATAAACCACATGAGGAGTGACTATAAAGATCTGCTGAGAAGTCCTCAATGTTTCTAAACCTGACTCGCATTCCCTCATCCCATCTCCTACCAGGACTGTGCTGTTTGGAGTATAAGCTCAAAGCATTTCAGAGGAGCTGAGTACAAACAAAGACTTTTTCTGGCACAGGTCCTCCTTCCTCTGTGATTTTCCAGCAAACACTTATCACCAGTTTTTGTTTCTACCAGTCTCTACTGAAAAGAAACTAAAAAGCAGAGTCTGGACAAGAGGTTTCAAAGCTCACTAACAGCTAAGGAGTTGCGACTTCTTTTATCCCTTCTATCTTCCCTTACAGACCAGAAAAAAATTCAAGTCTAGCACACATTAAAATATCTTTTTTAGTTTTTCCTCCAATACTCAAGATTTTGAGCCTAGAGGACTCCTATTTGCATCTGTGCTGATTATTGACTTATTACATCTACATAACTGAGGCTATCATAAGCTTTTTGCAAAAAAGTTTGTAAGCTTGTAGCAAGTTTGACATAGGAACATCCAACTCCATCCTAGCAGCCTCAAGAGAGATATCAGCCTGAATTTTCAGACATGTTCTTCTACTAACCAAATTTTTCTTTTGGAAGCTTTGAAGCAAAAGAACATAAGATTTGTCCAAGAAGAGCTTTTTCAGAATGAGATGCACTCATGTTTTTGAGCTCTTTTCTACTTTCTTCCACTTGTTCACACAGAACAAAACAGTCCCTTCAACCATGAAGACCATGAAGAGATGGGTCTGACCAGCCAACCCATTAACCAAGGTGGACTCCTGGGCCTCTACCAGTCACAAAGCAAAGCTGAACCCTGTTTGTCTCACCGTGAGCAGGCTGGGGCTGATGGCAGCTCCTCCAGCTCATCCTTGCAATGAGGCAAGCGTAGAACCTCCATAAACCTCCAGTTCATCATTTAAGAATGCTTTGCCAAAAGACTGAATAAAATAACTCTTACCATCAGGCTGAACCAAACTCCTGACTGCTGCCAGAGACTGCTCAGTTCAGCCAGGTCTAAAAATAAACCCGATGTGGGAATCATAAGGTGGCCAGGAAGGATGCTACCCACAACATTCCTTATGTGCTGTTTGTTACAGAAACCATAACCGCACATCTCTGAAGCTCAGGAAAAGCCTTTGATCTTTATCTACAGTGGGGAAAATTTCACTTCTGGAATTAGCCTTTGGATTGATCCAGTAAAAATAGTCCAGAGGCCTTAAGGGCCTTTGTGGCAACTTAATGAAGCTTTTAATGAGTTTTTAAACTGGACTAGCAAGGCATTGCATTTTTTCTCATAGTATGTAAAGCCTTAACATCATATATGCAAGGTCTGACGTTTTTCTTTTAAGATTCATGCTAGGTCTTGGGGGCTTTGAGTTTTCAAATTGCATCTGCCAAACGCTCCACAGTAAAGTCCTTTCTTCTCCCTTCGCTATTGGGAGGCTCCAATGTCCAATGTGCACAGTAGATCTGGGACACCCTTGGAAGAGGTAGAAGACACAGCCTTACTGTCTTCAGATGCCTCCTGGACTAAAACAGGGGGGAAAAGAGTGACAACCCTAAAGCACAAAGGCTCTGCAGGAGGAATTGTAGGGAGTCTTGGAGCTCCTTATTACACCCAGTGCTCAAGTATTTGTGACAGTTCAAGTTACACATCTTGTGATTCTTGCAACATGGAGTTTGTTTCAACATTTCTCCCCGCCAAAGCCTTTCTTGTCCTTGGGATTAAGTGCATAGATAACATCCACAGTGTCGTGTCTGTTTTCAGTTGCTTGCAACTTCCAAAAAATTCCCCCTAGGGGCTAAAATGTTCCAAGTTTGATCTGAGTCCAGGGTTGGCAATTTTTCTTTCCCCTTCCAACCAACTGACCAGCTTAGAAACATGCATTTGGTCACTCTTCAACAGTGGGAAAGTGAGAAAATAAATGTTTTGGAGGTTTGAGAATCTCCCTTTCATGAGGGACGAGGACAGCCCTAGGGAACGGAGGGGAAGGGGAAGCATGGGGGTGGTGGGGTGGGAAAAAACAGAACAAGACGCAAGTGCTCTACATGGGGGGTGAGAACAGCAAGGCCAATGTGGTTCTGGTCAAATAAACAGCTTCCCAGTATAATAAAACAACTCTAAGAAACTGGTCCTTGCAGCAACCCCCCACCAGAAAAATCTCAGGAGAAGGCGAATTTCAGGATTTGCACACGCTGCAAGAGTGGCTTTTCTACAGGGCGCTTGAGCAGCAAGCAGTCAAAGAGGCCTTTGTGCACATTTTCACATAAAATCGGGTATCTCTGATCTCTGTCATACTGTTCCCAGAAAAGGAGGATGACTAAAAAGCTCAAACACTACATCAGGAGGGCTAGTCAGCCCCCTCCGCCTCGAGTCTCCCAGGGTTATTTCTTTTCACAAGTCTTTTATTTCATGCCCATCATAGGTGGCTATTTTAAGGGGCTATAGAGAAGTGCTGAATGCTGATAAGGCAAATCCTGTATCCCTTAATCCACTGATAAATCACTTTGCCAGGCTTCAAGAGTACCAGACAGATGGAGTACCCGAGGAAAGTACCCACAGGCTGGCTTCCCACTTCAACCCCAGCTCATCTCTAAGGCAGAAAGGTTTTTGTTCTGGTATTTTAATCACTGATTGACTGGGAACTTTCTTCCATGCTGGGTTAGGTAAAATATCCATATGTCAGAGGTAGCAGGGAATTTGCAAGGCTGTAGATCATAGGAGTGGTGTGAGACAAGGTGCATCTCAAGGGAACCAGGGAAGGAATGTGAAGAGTCACAGGGTTAAAGCCACATTAAGACAGCTGTTATGTTAATGAGTGCTCTGCTTTTCCACTAACTGTGGGTCATTGATTCAGAAAAACACAAACAAGGACTTTTTCATTCTCTCATATCTTTCCACTGAAGCTAAAGAAGCCTAAAAATATATATCCTAGGTCCTGATTGCCTTGCTAATAGATCTTACCTAGAAAGTTATCCTTGTAGTGCTTGTGCAAGGCTGATTCTCAGGGTTTGATTTGGTCTTTCCTCACCCAATGACCCTACACATGAAGCTGTTGTGTTAGCACTTCACTTAGTAAACACATGAAGAACAGATTTATGTCCCACTGAGCTTGCCTTCCAAGAAAAACTCATCCATACATTTGATTTTCTTTCATGGTCATAACACAACACTTAAAGGTCGGGTGCGACATCTGCAAAAACATCTGGCAGGTGAAACCACTGAGCAGGAAAGTCTGGATCCATCAGGACAGGCGCCCAACAGCAGGGCTGTGCTGCAAGACATGCGCTTGCCTTCAGAGCTCAGACTGGCACTTGGGCTTACTGGTCCCAGTTTGCAGCATGATTTACTCCTCCAGCACTTTAACTTGTTTCAGACTATGCAGATGTAGCCAAAGTTGTGAAGATCTAATAATTTGGAGGTTTTATTGTTCTGAATTAAACTCATAAAAGATATTATGAAATCTAAATCTAGTCGACTTCCTAGGTTAAACTGGAAGTAAACTGTGGATACCACACCAGGTATCCTGTTATCTTACATGGTTCTATATACATGGCTCTTTTCAAATGCTTCTGTCCTCTATTAATGCCTAAGACCCAAACAGCAACAGATGAAACCAATTAAACAGCTATAAACTGGTAGTTTAACTGATAATGTGCACAGTGTTGTCAAATGCACAAAAACCAGCCGGGAGAGGACCTTTTTCTCTGAACTCACTCCTATTTATAGCAGGTATGGAGCAACTACCAAGGACAACACAAAACTGCTTTCAAAGCGGCTGTTGTTTCAAAGAGTAGGAACCCCCTGGCCCGTGACACCTCTGAGGTCGCACCTCGTAGCTGCCTGTTTTCCTGCAGCCCGGAGCACAGCCGGGCAGGGCCGAGCACGCACCTGCACGCGCGCCTCCGTGAGCTTGGCCCTCTGCGCCAGCTCCTCCCGCGTGTAGATGTCCGGGTAGTGCGTCCGCTCGAAGGCCCGCTCCAGCTCCTCCAGCTGCTCCGCCGTGAACGTGGTCCGGCTGCGGCGCTGCTTGCGCTTCAGCGGCAGGTCTGGCTCCGAGTCGATGTCCGAGCCTTCCTCCGACTGCGGAGCTGAGGCTCCAGGGAGGAAAACGACAGCGAGAGAGTTAACTTTAGCTCACAATTTGAAATAAAATAAAATAAAGTGACATGACGTGACCAACTGGTAATATTCCCCTCACCTGAACTGAGCTGGTAAATTTCAAAGAAATAAAGAAGCGAGGAATAATTCAGAGTTAAATGCTACACAATGTGAATTTCCTCAATGAAAAAGGTTCATTTATAAATGCAGCGCTTTTGTGAGACCCAAGAATATTTAAGGACCACCAGAAGTCTTTCTGAACATACCAACTATTCAGGTTTCAGGGGGAGGCTCTTTTCTTTAATTCCCCTTGCAACTGTTTGCAAACATTCGGAGACGCTTGAGCAGCACCCGCCTAGTGCCAAATGATCACACAAGTAGACCAGCCCAGGCCCTTCCCATCAACTTATGAGCAACTGCTCCATGTGTCTGCACGACAAACATTTGCATGCCATAAAATATAAATTCCCATCCCATAGATGCACGTGCACAAGACCTTTCCTCTTTAGATACATCACTAAAACCTCATTGCTGAAAGATTATGGAAGCGATTACAAAGGAATGGGAGAATTAGTAAAGAAATTCATTCTCATACATAATCAAGTACTTCCCATCCTGTGCATTGTTTGTCCTGCTTTGTGAACAGTATCTGTGGTCACATTAGCTTATCTCGGTACACTTAAACTTTTCTGCTCTTTTGCATTTTACCAGCTGGCCATAGGCCTACCTAGTATAATCCTGGTACAGTCCAGACATAGGTCACAAAGGTCTGAGACGCGTGTTGCACAGAGAAGCCCTGCAAGAAAAGCTAAGAGCTGTTGCACATTTGACACAATTCTTCCAGTTACACAAGCAAGTGGACTCCAGCACTTGCAACCTCAAGAACTGAAATACAGAAGTGGCATCACTCCCTTCTCCGGAGATTTCAATCCTCATCCCTCTTTTCGCAGGAGGGCTCCTACCATAGAGGCAGCCGCTCATGCTGGACCTCCAGGGTCCCCAAGGCACGAGTGGGATGGGGATGCCTGGATGCAGAGCAGGGATGCGCATCCCAACCGCTGCCCTCCTATCCGTGCGCGCAAGGGGAGCCACCTAAAGAGGGCAGGCGCTCGCCAGGCATCCCGCGGCAGCCGCTCCGGCAACTCCGGGCTCACGGCTCCCACAGACACCAACTCCAAACAGCCTTCCCAACACATCCGAACGTGGCTGACAACACAAAGCTGGAGAGAAATCGCTGTTTCTCCAGCTAAACCCCCACGCACTTTGCTCGCTTACAGCTGCTTTACATTTTTCAATTTCACTCAAGCTGTTTGAGCTAATAAATGCACCTAATCTATTTAGTTGGTCTTACAGCATGAAAAGGACAAAGGGCTTTTTCACACACCTCAGCTGAAGAATTTATGAATTTCTGGACACAAAGGAAGAACAATTCCTGCCAGCCCAGAGGCTCTTCTTTGAGAGCTATCTGCATTGTCCAGGCACCAGCAGTACTTTGGATCCAGGATGCACGGAATATCAGGAAAAACCCCGCAGAGCTCAACATCAGCACTCTGCAAAAAACACTCACTCATGGGGCCTCTCACTTGCATGGCTGTTTCGCCCGCGCACGGCCAGAGGGATGGAGCCCTCCTGGCCTGGAGAACATTATCCCGGAACAAAGAGCCGCCCAGCTGCTCCGGACTGAAGGCTCCGCTCCGGTCCTACCTGACATCTGCCATCTGCAGCAGGCACGGGCTTCACTGGACTTTGCCCGTTTCTCCCTTTATTTTTTATTAAAAA